CGTCGGCTTCGGCCCTTCTCTAACTTAGGCGTATCATCCTTGCGCAGGAGCTGTGCTAAGCTTCCCTGTATCGTTCCAATTTTTAACGGATRTCCCGAAGGACTCCTACCGCAACACCTCGCGGCCCTCCGAAATGGCCCAGGGCAAGTCAGAATTATGTGTTTTTTTTTTTTTGTTTTTTTTTTTACTCATCAGGTCCCAACATATGAGCTCAAACCCAGGTCTGTATTTCAGCACTTCATGGGTGTACCCACTGAGCTGGGCTCTTGGGGGCCTGCCACACCTTCGGCACCGCGGCGCAGCCTTCAAGCAGTTCCTTTTTGAGTACAACACACCCCTACGCGCTGCGTCCCTAGACAAAACGGTGCCGTGCTTCACCGCGGCCACAAAAAACAGTGTGTAATTGCACTTCAGGCAGCCCCGCGAATGCGACACCTCTTGCTGCGACGAAGTGGCGGATTCTCGCCAGCAACCGGAACTCGCGAACCCGCCGGATGGGGTACTCACTCAAGGCCCCCAACTGCCGTGGCGATCATTAAGCCCGGCGTCGCGTCCACATCAATGGCCCGTCGGAGTATATAAAAAGATACGTCACTTAGAAAAATATTTAGAAAACGTCACCACTAATGAGACGCCGCTGCTAACAAAACCGAGGGGGATAGCCCTTACGGCCCTCAACCCCATCGGCGTCCTCCTCGATGCTCCACTGTGACTGTGTCGACGCTCGCCGACCTCGATCCCCAAACCTGTGTAGTGTCATTCCAGTGTCGTAACCTATAGGGCTAAACCCAAGCCTGAGATCAAAACACGCCGAATGCCACATAAGACGGTGCGGCGCGGTGCTCTGGGCCAACAAAATGGTTGCGCGGCTCKCAGTGCCCGCGCCGGCTTGCTTATATCATGCCATAATTCCCCCCCCGCGCGCCATCCTACGACATCCCGCTCACCACACGAAATCGCGCTGTTATTGCCGATACCGTCGTTGGGGTCGTTTTCCCCACACGCACGCTCGCCTCAATCAAGCGTACCAATCAACCGAAAATATCCCTGGTCCCTGCTTAATCAAATATAAATAGGTATTAATAATACYATTAAATGAACGATYGATGATCAACAACAGAAAGGGATCACGCGCGCCTTAAACCTGCGCGCCCACACACTCTCTACGCTAGTCAAGCATCCTGTCAACGTAAATTACAGATGCAGCCGCGCCTAGCGCGGTATACTTAAACTTTGAACCAAACTATTTTCTGTCACTTGCAAAAACCAGGGCGGATACCCTTGTAAGGGTATTCGCACCGACAGCTTACCGGACCATATTAAGCGACGTCCCCGTCGCTTCGCSAAATCAKAAAGCTATAAATCCATCCACATTCSAAATGCTGACGAAACAAGAGCCAATCCGAATAGCCGACAAACACAGGGTAGAGGCCTCCATCAAACCATGTCTTCACAACTATACGCTGCTAGGCTTCTAACCTGGGCCTCACANCCAGCGCAGCCTATGGATCGCATAGCCCCGATTCCATACCCTTACTGCAGAGCCCCATTGCGCCACTAAACTCGCAATCTTCCAAAACCGCTATTCAGCTTTTTTAGCTCGCCTAAGTCCATGAAAATTCGAGTAGAAACTTCACTTCTTCAACGCCTGCCATGTCCGCCTACACCACCTCTCCGCGCAAACTGTTCTTCGTCTACTTCTCTTTTCACTAACTCTCTTCTACATCTGATCTCAAGTACGGACTCGCCCAACATAGAACCCTCAATCTAACTCCCTTTCCGGCTCGATTTCGCTSAAGTRTCGAGCGAAAATCTCAACTTCTGCTTTCTGCCATAGCCYACTTCCGAGACCCTTCACGCAGCACACCTTCTCTCTACCTCCCCACACACTCCTTCACTCCCAAAACTAACAACACTATTGAATTCGCCTTGCCTGAGAGCCCAGGTTAGCCTCTTTACTCGCCCGATTTTATCAAGATCCGGGCGAGATACATGACCTTTCTCTTTCATTCACTCTCCTCCATCTCCCATGCATGTTTTCCCTTACTAACTTCGTAATGTACTACTATCTTCTTAATCTAATTGCATATTCGGGGTCGCCCACCCCGAAAACCCCTGTTGAGTGTTTTTCCCCGTCCGAAATTGTCAAGGATCGGGCGTGATAGATGACTCTACCCCCTACCAGAGCCATTCCCCCACACTCCGCATGTACCTGGCGCAAAAGCTCGTCCGAGTTCATTCATCTTTTCTCAGCGCCCTTCTGCCCACAACGCTCCGCTGCCCGTCACTACCCCTGCGCTCGGCAGCGCACAGCGCCTCATAGCGTTAGCTCTCTCCGCTCTCCCTCTTCACCCGCTCCGGTCTACAGCCCCGGTACTTCCCTGTGCGCTATCTCACCGCCCGCTGTTCCCTAGCACTGCCGCCGCTGCTCCAGCTCGTCCAACTGGGATTAGTGCCCCGCACACATCCTACACCGGATCCCGCCGGCCGCCTGTCTTTTACCACCCCGTCGGCTTCGGCCCTTCTCTAACTTAGGCGTATCATCCTTGCGCAGGAGCTGTGCTAAGCTTCCCTGTATCGTTCCAATTTTTAACGGATRTCCCGAAGGACTCCTACCGCAACACCTCGCGGCCCTCCGAAATGGCCCAGGGCAAGTCAGAATTATGTGTTTTTTTTTTTTTGTTTTTTTTTTTACTCATCAGGTCCCAACATATGAGCTCAAACCCAGGTCTGTATTTCAGCACTTCATGGGTGTACCCACTGAGCTGGGCTCTTGGGGGCCTGCCACACCTTCGGCACCGCGGCGCAGCCTTCAAGCAGTTCCTTTTTGAGTACAACACACCCCTACGCGCTGCGTCCCTAGACAAAACGGTGCCGTGCTTCACCGCGGCCACAAAAAACAGTGTGTAATTGCACTTCAGGCAGCCCCGCGAATGCGACACCCCTTGCTGCGACGAAGTGGCGGATTCTCGCCAGCAACCGGAACTCGCGAACCCACCGGATGGGGTACTCACTCAAGGCCCCCAACTGCCGTGGCGATCATTAAGCCCGGCGTCGCGTCCACATCAATGGCCCGTCGGAGTATATAAAAAGATACGTCACTTAGAAAAATATTTAGAAAACGTCACCACTAATGAGACGCCGCTGCTAACAAAACCGAGGGGGATAGCCCTTACGGCCCTCAACCCCATCGGCGTGCTCCTCGATGCTCCACTGCGACTGTGTCGACGCTCGCCGACCTCGATCCCCAAACCTGTGTAGTGTCATTCCAGTGTCGTAACCTATAGGGCTAAACCCAAGCCTGAGATCAAAACACGCCGAATGCCACATAAGACGGTGCGGCGCGGYGCTCTGGGCCAACAAAATGGTTGCGCGGCTCKCAGTGCCCGCGCCGGCTTGCTTATATCATGCCATAATTCCCCCCCCGCGCGCCATCCTACGACATCCCGCTCACCACACGAAATCGCGCTGTTATTGCCGATACCGTCGTTGGGGTCGTTTTCCCCRCACGCACGCTCGCCTCAATCAAGCGTACCAATCAACCGAAAATATCCCTGGTCCCTRCTTAATCAAATATAAATAGGTATTAATAATACYATTAAAYGAACGATYGATGATCAACAACAGAAAGGGATCACGCGCGCCTTAAACCTGCGCGCCCACACACTCTCTACGCTAGTCAAGCATCCTGTCAACGTAAATTACAGATGCAGCCGCGCCTAGCGCGGTATACTTAAACTTTAAACCAAACTATTTTCTGTCACTTGCAAAAACCAGGGCGGATACCCTTGTAAGGGTATTCGCACCGACAACGTGCCTGATTGAACTGCTAAAAAAGGCCAGCTCGAGTTTCAACTACATTTGAAACTTGGGCCCCCGAACGTTCGAGACCGAACGTGAACATAAAAATATTTAAAACACACACACACACACACACATACAATCAAGTTCACTAAAAAATCTGAAAACAATATATGTTATGTAAAATAATAATCCAAACAACTTTTGCCTTGAAGGTATGGTCAAATTCGTAACCAAACTTGAGTTAAAAATCAAAAAACAAAAACAGAAGTTTTTTTTTTTTTTTTTTTTTTTTTTTGAATATGTTCGGCCGAACATCCGAACGTGTTCGGACGTTCGAAAAAGCTCCGAACATGTTCGGTGTGCTACACACAGGAAATTGTAACCCTGACTAAGCCGTAGTTTTCTCTTTTATTTTTTTGCTAAAAAAAGTCAGCCCGAGTTTCAAGTGCATTTGAAACTCGGACCCTGACTAAACTACTAAAACGAAGTTTGAAATGCAATTACAAACTGTAACCCTGACTGCACCGTAGTTTTCTCTTGTATTTTTCTTTGTTCCTTTTTTAATGCAACTGCCCTGGCTCGGCAAAAGGGCGTCATTAGACATGCGTGGGGCACACGACTCCAAGGATTTCGTCGTCGTTCCAACTGTCCTCAGAGTCCTGGAAGGAGACTGACGCTGCGGATGTCAACGAAAGCGAGAAAGATGGAGAACCTTCTGACGAAAAGCATGTTGTTGGTAGGGGTGGTGGGATCTTCACGGCAGCAATGCAACGGTGTGGAAGGTGGCAGGCAGCCATACGACCCGACGCTGTACAGCCACCTACCGTCCCACGAGATTCTGTTGCCTCCGAGTGATGTCGACGCCTACAAGCCTCGATCCTCGACGGTTCCTCTGGGCAGCAGTTCGACGAAGGATTGGACGGGGACGCAGTTGTACAGACAACCGACGACGTTGACACACACTTAGAGCTGCTGGAGGGATGGACCTAGGTTGGCTATGACGCTGAACTTGTCGATCTCAACTTCGGTTTGAGGTTCTGCTGTGGTCCGGCTGTGACACACACAATTGTCGTCAATCCAGCTGCAAGCAATAACTTGAACCACACACAGTCTTCCGTGAGGGGGGCCGGGCTTCAAATAACCATGACGGGTGTTCTCGTGAGTTGGCCGACGAATGTGGAATCGTTTTGCCGAAGCGTGGGGGAGGGAGCACTGCAAGTGTGGCCGCTTCAAAGACAAAGACAACGGGCATGGCGGCCTGTCGATCAACGACGCCCAGCGAAGCGAACTACGGATGGCGGGACGACGATGACTGCTCTGCTGCAGAGGTGACGGGTTGGCAGGCTTGGGACGATCATCAGCGAGAGATTTGGCAAGCAAGCACTTCTGGCATCACAAGAGGGGTAGCGAACATGAAAGTCCTCGGAGACGACATCTTTGTCCATTGCGATGGTGCAGAAGGTGAAGATTATGCAGCGAACGAGAGCGAATGTGAGGACGACGAAGACGGCGATGACAAGACTGAGATTTGTCCACTGGGGAGGAAGAGAGGTGGGTCCCGAAGCAGAAAGAAGGTTGTGCTACCGCGAGCAGGGAGACAAGGCAAGAGGGTTGTACAAGATACGGGGGTAGTCGACGCAACGGAAAGTAGGGATTTTTGGACGGTGGAGCACATGATTGGTCTCATCCGAGCGAAAAGAGACCAGGATTTGCATCTCACTGGCTTGGGGCACAACTATGGGCGGATGAAGTCAAAGACTTGGAAGTGCGACAACGTCGAAACGAGGCTCATGCAGATGGGCGTGACAAGCAGGAAGGCGGTGGACTATGGAAAACAATTGGACAACCTTTACCAACAATTCAAGACAGTGCACAAATTCATGGGAGAATTCGGGAAGCAGGACTTCTTTGGACTGACACTGGTGGAGAGGAAGGAGTGTGGGTTCCACTTCAGAATGGACTGACGTCACGGTGAGTATTTGGAGATGAAGGCGATGTCGAAGAGTGAGCACACTATCCACCCCACAAATCCCATGGACACAGGCCCGGGCACGGCCGGAGGGGTTCAGATGCCCGGACCAAGTGCTGGTCGGAACGAATCCGTTACTAGCGAGGGATGCGGGGATGGACAGGACGACGAGCAGGGATCATCGACGAGGGATTCGACTTTCAGCTATGTTAGCAGGGGCGGGGGCAGAAAACTGAAGAATGCGACACAAAAGACCTTAGAAGTAATCGTCGACGTCATGGATAACTTGAAGGACAAAAAGTTGATGGCGATGGCGGTGGACGGTGGTGACGGCGCGAGCAAGAGGCAGTGCTTCGTTTTGACGAGGCACTACGGCATTCTTCAAATGGAGGTGGACGTGTAGAACGAGCACTATGAGAAGGCCGACCATGCGAACCTCGTGATGTGCAATACCCTTATGGAGGTTGCAAAAGCCATCCGTGAGCGATCTTAACATCACGCGACAATACATCTCCGAGGTCAGCCCGATCGCCACGGCCCACGTGTATACATCAGAAGCTGCAACGTTGTCATCGTCTAGCATTCGCTGCCGCCCTATTTGAGTGTCACCTTGTAGTTCCTCAGACGGTCATCGGTGTTCTACACGAGGTCGTTCTCTGCTGAAGAATCGTGCACGCACGATCGACTTGAGGTGGAGTGATGCGTTTTTGTACATAGATCGTTGTCCGTGGCACGGATGCATCGTTACCATCGCTTTGCGTGCTGCAGTGCAGTGCGACAACGGTTGTGTAAATACAGAAGGTGGTGTTGCCCCTGTCATTGTCGTTTAGTGGTATTTTATTGTGAATCTATAGAATAGTGATGGCACTCACATCCAACAGCTCGTCCTTGGGGAGTGAGGTTGTGGTCCTTCACACTCCTTCGTTTTTTATGGTTGTTGTCAATTCGTATTGTTTGCTGATATCGCCGCGCTTTGGTGACGTTCGAAAAGGTGGTGAAGTGTTATTGTTGTATTTTGAAAATATGAATTTTCTGTATATCCTTCGTCTCCGCTTGAACCGGATGGTTGAAGGATCTTATGTCTGATGAATGGCAATGCATTTGTCTTTTGTGAACGATCCACGAAGGCAAATTGGGAAATGTGATCCGAGTGTAGGAAGACAATGGAACTTTTTTAAAAATTTTGTGTATGCCTTTTGCACAAGCCGTTAAAAAGGCCTTTGTTCGTGTACGCAAATCCCGGTTCGTTGGATATGAAATGGTTGTGTGTTATCTATGATATTGCCGAATGTTAGTGCCGACAACCGAATGTTGATATTGAAAGAAAAGGCCCGTTATCTAACAATGGACTACGTGAATGGACTAGTAAATTTTTTAATTATGTTTTGCTTTATGTTCGTACGACATTCAAGTGGAGTTGCTGTATTGTCAGACTATATGAGGTTCATTTATGCTCATGACGGTGGGGAGGTGTGGTGCTGCTGCCAGCCTCACACACACACACACACACACACACACACACACACACACACACACACACACACGCACACACACACACACACACAGACAATGGTTGTTCGGCGTGCCATATTTGTTGTGGTGACGGACTGCACAGCAGCCCTGTCTTTGCCAATATTCGAGGGAGACGTCATGGGATACACTTTCGTGGGTTGGGAGCATGTGCACATGGTAGACATCGTCCCCGCACACCTTTAGAAGGTGGTGATGGGAGAACACGTGATGGGGCGTGAGATCAGGCACTTCGGTGTCATGTGCGATGATGTGAAGCACGCCCGTTTCTACGTGTTCATTGGTTTCATGGGAAAGCGTCCGTGAAGTAGTCATTGTTCTCGAAAAAAATAGAGGTGCCCTGCCTAAGTAGGGGTCGTTCGAGGTAGATCCTCTATGGGATTATCCGCCATTGCTATTGATTATGAATTTGATGGCTTGATACACGGGGAAGCTTCGTACAGGACGATCATTCTGCAATTGTTGCAAGACTGGTCATACATGACCGGCCCTGTGAGGATCGGTGATCACGGGAGCACGTTCATTTATGCTTGCGAGCGTTGAGGACCCAGGGACTGGGGTTTGTGTAGTCAACGCTTGATGGCAGGGCATGATTTCACCAAGCCGCGGTTCGGGTGGGAGGCTGGTTTGGTGGAGGGGTGTGGAAGGCGAAGGTATATGGGGGTGTTCGTTGTGAGGGGGGGGGGAAGGGGAGAGGCTTTGGTCGCTTAATTGTTACTTTGTAAAAAATGATGGAGCACGATGGTGATAATGGGTTGTGGGAAAGGGGGGTGGCTGGGGGTTGGGGGGGGGGTTGTTTTTTGTTTCGTGTGGAGAATGGTGTCCCGTGTGACATGCGTCATGGGGGGGGGGGGGGCTCTGTGCTGGTGGCAGACCGTCCTTCGTGTACCGAGCGACTGTCCAGAATATCAAAGGGGAGTCGGGGCACCATTTCGTACCGCCGTCCTTCCATTGCGAAGGCCTCACAGCCACCGTCGGTGCACTCCGTTCTCGTCCTCCACCACCACGAGGGTTGGACTACGCATCCACGTCATTTGCGTTCGCTTTCCGATGGACCTTTCTGGTCGGCGTCGGCGTGTCCGTCATTGCTGGACAGTGCCACATCATCCACGTCCTTCCATTGCAAGGGCCATTCAAGTCGACGTCGACTTGTCCATCATCTGCGTCTGCTTCACGCTGAAGCGGTTTTCATCATGCACGTGGCAATCAGACGGTAGTTTGTGTTGGGATGCCACCATCGACGCCACGGGGTGCCATTGAGAAGGCGAGGAGAGACAATGGACCTTGCAATGTGGGGGAAGCCTTAGGACAAAAAGGTCGAGGTCACGTGCCCTAATTGAAAATGTCGCACTTGGAGGACGTGGACTCGGAGTACGACAGAGACTTCCAGGAAGAAGAAAACACAGTGGCAATAGCGCAAGGGGCGGAAGGGGCCACACGATTGGGTTTCGGGCGAGATGGGGTCTTAAGGGAACAATGAACAACTCTCAAACAAACTGTCGTCGATGTTGCAATCGGAGTGTTACCAAGAACACCTGGGGCGCAAGGGATTGTCATCGACGAGGTGCACGTCCAAAGGCGAGCCGCACCTGCAGGTTAGGCGATGACGAGCGTTGGTCGCGGGATGGTGTCGAGCACATCGGTCCCGCGGAGGGGACCCTCCCGACCGCGTCACACAAGATTTTGCAAGACTTGTCGTGTAGGGCATTTGTTGTTCTGACTGAGAGCGCCAACCATACATCTCGTGAACCCCTACGACATGATACGGCCACGCGAGCCTCCACCCTTGTGAACTGTATCCTTTAGGTGGGCGTATCCCCGCCTAGCTAGCGAACCACCTGCGAAGGTTTTTCGTATGCAATCGCAAAGGTGGCTCGGTCGATGGTGTTTCTCGCTCGCTGTAGCATAGGGGGTACGAGCGGTTAAGCTCGGATCGGACCCGTGTGCGAATCGTTATCCGAGGCGCTGATCTCTCGAACGCGATCCTACGTTGGTTGACTAGGACAGTCAAATCTCACCACACGATACATCTCACGAAAATAAAATCGAGATTCACGAGTAAATCGCTCATAGTCCCTTGTTCATATCCGGCCCATAACTTTCACCGAAAGAATTAGGGGAGTGCTGCACGCGAATCGAATAAACATAGCAACGACGTAGACTTTGTCATATTGATCAGCATGCATGAATATGCAACGATCGCAATCATAGCGTATTATGTGGTCCTCAAGGAATTTGATGGTCGTTTTTTACGCTAAAGTGTCAACTGACACACGTCCTGAAGGGTTACTCTTCTAACGAAAAACAATCGCAATTGCGATTACTAGACCTACCATTTTCTGCACCCTGCGAAGAGGAAGGGTAGGTGGGTTTCGACCCTTAGTGACGAGTCTGACGACCAAGCGCCTCTAACCCTGGGAATGGGCTACATCAACCGGGGCCTAGAAACAGGTCAAGGGTTTTGACTTTGACATCCGTCACAGACCTCGACGTCCAACTATGAAAATTTTAAAAAGAAAAAGGTAACATGAGTTTTGTTTTTCTCTCGACACAAATCTATTAAATCGTTATGTTTGATAAAACTAGGTCATCCGTATATGCAAAATATAAATATAACGAGTTTATAAAACACCAGGTGACTGCTCTCACAATCATACACATGATCACAAACAAAGTCAAACCCGGACTTCGACTCACAAAATCATTCCTGCAATCACATCAAACATTCAATCATCGACGTACCACGCACTACAAGTAGTCAACTTCAACCACTTTCTGTACTGACATCCGTTACCTTATTCACACAAACCCGAACAATTGTTCAACCCTCCAAACGAAATACACTCGGTCCCTTTTTAAATGGTCATTTAACAATAGTCAGGTTAAAAACTCAAAGAAACATTTTAACCCACAGGGGCCGAGGCCTTATATTGAGAAGCGGGAATGAGTTAGACTTGAGTCATAAACCAACATGTTATCAAAAGATAAAAGAAGATGATTCTGGTAGGATCGGCTTGAAACTAGTCAAGCTCCAAGAGAATGAAAACGACATGTAGCACAACACCGGATAGTGTCCAAGCTATGTTTGAGTGAGTAAGAAATATTCATACCTTCCTACCCTATTCTTTGATACCTGTCTGAAAATGTCAAAAATTTCGATAACATTTCTACAGCGCAAGGGCGGAATGTCAATTTTCAAGTTCTAAAATGTGTTGTAACTCCTCTAGCTTTCAGGAAATTTTGGGAGCGTTTCCCGTTTCCCGTAGGAAAAGTGTCTTTCCAAAATTTATACAAAGCTAAGCACAACATATAAAAATAATTATGATTTCACAAAGTCAAATTTGTCTAACTCTCCGATTTAGTAAAAAATTGGGCATCATCTCTTTTAGAGAAATAGGCTTCCCAGATTTATACTAAGTCATAAATGAACTTAGATAAAAGTTTGAACTTTGTAAAAACAAAATTTGATAAACTCATTGGATTTTCATAAATTTTGGCAGCACTTCCCCTAGCAAAAGTTCCTCATCGAGAT